AATTTGGATCAGGGAAATTAAGGGTTAAATGTTCAAAGAGTTGTAGGTATTAACTGTTTTGGGAGTAATCAGTAAGTCAGACTGGAAGATTGTTGCTACTCCTCCTCCTCATCCAGAACTTCTGGGGATGTGAAAATTTAAATAGCTTGAAGGAGTTGCCTCATTTATGGTCACATAATCCTCTTGCTGCAGCCTGGTTTCTGTAAGGCAACATAAGTCAATGTGATTATCACAAATCAAGTCATTAACTAGCAGACTTTTAGAGCAAAGAGATCTTATGTTAAACAGACCGCATTTAATCATTTTAACTTTTTCCCCAATTGGAGTTATTTTAATTTGATTATCATGATTTACTCGTTTGGGAATATTTGCTAATTTATTAGATTTTGGTTGTGGGCAAGACACTGTCTGGATGGAGTAAAAACTGGGTAACAGTAGAAAAGCTGCAGAGAGGTCTGTTAAACTACACCTCTGCTTCCTGGTCTGGTGGATGCCGTCTCTCCGAATCAGACCAGGCTTTCCCCAAAAGGATTGCCAATTATTAATGTAGCCCACGTTGTTTTCAGGACACCACCTAGACAACCAGCGGTTGAATGACGACATGCGGCTAAACATGTCGTTCCTGGTCAGATCAGGGAGGGGACCAGAGAAAATTACAGAGTCCGACATTATTTTGGCAAACTTACACACCGTGCAAAAAATAATTTTAGTGACCAATCAGATAACTACAACTCACTCTGAAATATTTTAAACCATCAAATGAACAATCAGTGAACTATTTATTTATTTTTTAAATCTCTGCATTTAATCCATCCCCTTGGGGAGCAGTGGGCTGCCATTGTGTGGGGCTAATGGTCTTGCTCAGGGACCTAGAGTGGTAGTCTGTGGTAGTGGGACTTCAACTCAGAACCTCTGGATTCCAAGTTCTATAACCACAAGACCACCGCTCCCCCTTAATGTTTTCTCTCTAATTACGTTTTTAATTTTCATTGCAATGTCGCTCCGTTGTGGTTGCCAGCCTATTGTTATGCTAGCAGGAAAGCCGTGATGCATTATGGGTAATTCTGGCACTGTGAGTCACACTTTGTAAAGCCCCACCTCCTGTGCTGTGATTGGTCAACGCTTCCTGTGATTCAGTCTGGTTGGCCAGGGTCAGTGAGTCGATGCAATCTGCTCCTTTTCCTCAAATAGAAATTTTTGAACCAATCTGACTGGATGATCTGGTTGATCTGGATCTATAAGGTGTCCTGAGATGACATGATGTGAAATCGTTTGAATTGGTAGCAGGGAGTAATTGGTCCTTGAATTTGAGGAAGTCGTACTAGAAAATCCTTGACAGTTCTTGAACTGGATATTGACGTTGAAGTGTGGGAACCCTGTATAAAAGTTTTCTGTGTCATGATTAAAAGTGTTTTCCCAAAATATTCCTCAAAACCTGATCCAGAACAGGGTTTTTGGGTTTTTTATGTCTAAAAGAACAATTCTCAAAACTCAGATCAGCAAAAACATAAAAGCCCCACAAGGTAATAAATATATATTTAAGAATAAACATGACTTGGATCAGAAAGTGGAAGATGAATTATAGAAACAACAGAGCCTGAAATACTTACCACTGCTCTTGGTGTGTGTTTGTCAGGCGGAAACATCCAGAAGCGTTCCCCCGAGGACTGCTTCACCATCCACCACTTTGAGAACAAGTTTGTGACGGAGACCCGAATCTGCAAGGCTTGATGGGAAACAGGGTGATGGCTGCAGAGGAACGGGGCGAGCCCCACTGATGGAGGACCAGGAGGAACGAGGGACCACCTTCCACAGGAAGCTATTTTTGTACAGATCCTTTAGCCTCTCCTGCTTGTGTTCAGTGAATTTATGTTACAGAGTCACTGCTGCTGTGTTTGTATTAACCTGCTTAGGTCATAGCTCCAGTATTCAGTGTTTCATTATTGATGTAGAAACTCAGAGAATCATCTATTCTGCTTAGATCTATTTTGTTGTGTTGCTTCCTGCAGACCAACCTAACTGCAGTTATCCTAGTAGATTGGAGGCATTGGCCGTTCTCCTCAGCATCCTACTCATTCTGAGAAAGCATCAGATTATGTCGTGTTTTATGTCACCATCATCTGTAGAGCAGCTTAACCAGCATGCTGCTATTTTGGTGGGGGCACTGCAGCTTTAGCACGTCAATCGCACGCTTGTGGTTTACATTTCTGAACACTATGACATTTGCTGCTCCGGGGTTGGGGTGGGGGGCTATCCTGCTGTTTTATTTAGAGTAACTGTTGTTAAACTTCAGTATCTTCAGTTTTTGTGTTTGTGTAGAAACAATTATAGATGTTAGCTATAAAAAAGGGAAGAGGGAAACCAGAGGGGTGGAGCTAGAGGGGAAATGTTTGATTTATGAATTTGTTGGTGTAATTAACATAAACAAAAACAGATGTAATGCATTAGCATAGTTAATTGTGATATTTAAAGGTTTACATTTTAAAGATAAATTACAGTTAATTTTAAGTCCTGTGTGAATCATGTGACTAAAGACACAACAGATGGGAGGTCCTAAAATCTCTTTAGTTGCCATTTTCAAGAAAACAACTCGATATCGGCTGAAATTAAACTTTATGAGCTGCTTTTAGTTTGACCTTAACACATGAAAGAAAACAAGGATGGCATTTTTCTAACAATTCAATTAAGATCATTAAGCTCGAGTTGGAAATCCCATCAGAAACAACAATCTGAAGAATATTTTTCTGAAACGGCTTTGTTGGGGTCAAAACGAAGCCGTTGCTGTAGATGACTCCACACAGAAAGACAATCAGTGGAGCTAAAGATGCTAATGCCTTTAAAGTCTAGAAAGAAACAAGCTGGTGTGAAACTACTGAAATTAACTTCATTGTAATGTGAAATAAACTTGCTTTTCTTAACCTACTTAGAGTGTAATGATTAAACAAAGTAAAATTTAAATGAATTTTAAAAGAGAACTTATTGAAATTTCATATTTTATTAAATGTGAACTCTGAGTTTGCTTAGCTGACTCAGCATTTTGCTTAGCTGAAAATGTTATGACTCTAAACGGTGAGGAGAAATGAAGAACATGGATTAGAAATAAACTGTTGGTCGGTTGGAACTTGAACACAGGTTGTTTCATCATCGTTGTGTTTTTGGAAGAGAACTCCAGGTTTTTATCGGCTTTCTAGAATCCTGATATCTGCCCCGGTGAGCCGCTGTGAATGATGCTGTCCCAGGAAACTTGATAATTCAAATGTGGAAGTAAATGTCACACAATCAGCTGAGTTTTACAGTTTATTATACACTGCTCACAATAATAAAGGGAAAACATAACAGAATATAAGATCAATTAAACTTATGTGAAATCAAACTGTCCTCTCAGGAAGCAACACTGACAATCAGTTTCATTTCTAATGAAATATGCAAATTATTGGCAGTTAGCAAGACTTAAGTCAATAAAGGAGTGGCTCTGCTCTCTGACGGATGTTTTAGTCACTTCTGAATGTTGGTGCTTTCACACTCGCTGTAGCATGAGGCGGACTCTGCAACCTTAACAAGTAACTCAGGTAGTGCAGCTCCTCCAGGATGGCACATCAATGAGAGCTACGGCAAGAAGGTTTGCTGCGTGTCCCCATGTAGAGGCTGGAGGAGCTACCAGGAGACGTGGAGGAGGCTGTAAGAGACACAGCCCTCCATGTGCTCGGTAGGTATGAGCTCCTCCGACCCCTGGTGAGACCATCTGCTGGTTCCGTTGGACCTGGGTTCCTCCTAATGCAGGACAGTGCTGGACCTCCTGCAGTGGACCATCCTCCTCCTCATCAGGGGCAGCCCAGGTGTTGTAGGGAGGTCATAGAATCAGGAGGAGGCCACCAACACTCCAAAACCTGTTAGAAGGATATTACATCACAGCTGGATCAGCCTGGAGTGATTCTACACTTTCATCCAAATCCAGGCCTCCATTGGTTCAATTATTAGGTTTCCATTGATGATTTTTATGTGATTTTGTTGTCAGCACATTCAGCTTTGAACTGAACAAAGAATTTAATGAGAATCTTTCATTCATTCAGATCTAGGATGCTTTATATTGGTGCTCCCTTTATTTTTTCTGCAGCGTGTTTTAGGATAGTATGTGCAATTTTTTTTCACTCTGTGGTTTGAAGAAAATCCACAATTATTTTCACCTCATTCTTTTAAAATGTCAGGCTTTTTTTGTAGGTAGGTCGTCAAAGGACAAAAACCAAAGACATCGAAGCATCATTGCATTGCAATGAAGCAAAAATTGTACAAAACATCCACATTTCCCGTTAAAGGTAAAAACAAAAGCAACTTGTTAGATGTTCGATTTGCAGAAATCAAGTGGAATTTCTGAGCTTCATCTTATTCAAATTCTGTTTTAAAAAAATCACTTTATAAAACAAATTTATTATCAATCTATTAATCAGAAAAGTAGTAAGAATAAATGCATCCAAAAAGACTTTATCAATCATTGCAGTTCTGTTAGCCTTGGAAAGAGTTTTTTTTTACATGTTTAATAAGCATCTCTTTTTAGATCAATCAAAAAAATAATCTATAGATGGATTATCTAAAATAACAAATAGTTGCAGTCCCTACTAGATTTAAAGCAGAATGGGATCTGAATGATAATTTAAATCTTTACCTAGGATTTGTCTCTATTAATCTAGTTTGTGGATTCTTTGTTTTGCTCAGTCTACTCCTAAAACGATCTCAACATAAGTAGATTTAAATCAACTTTGAGGATGACTTCATTATTGAAGAGGTTTATCATTTCCACTCGACCCCCTGGACCTTTAGATCCACCCGTCTCTGAAAGCTGATGGAGGAGAGTAAAAGGAGAAACCAAATTAAAAGTAAAACACATTTTTATTTCATATAAATAGGGCAATAGTTTCACATCTAGTTCATATAGTTTTTCCCGTTTATTTAAAATTCACATTTTCATCAGTGGAATTCACAGAATGTGTTTGGCAGGTTAATGCCTCCTCAGGGCCAGCAGGAGCAGTCTACTCATCTTCTGCATCCTCTCCTCCAGTTAAGCAGGAAAGACGCCTGTTAAAAGTTAAGGTGTCCGGCATCTCCGGCCTGCTTAGGCGCCTCCTGAACTCATCACTTGTAAAGTAGTACATGAGTGGGTCCAGGCTGCAGTTCAGGCTGGCCAGGCAGAGTGTTATTATATGAGACCTCTGAATCTGATTTCTGAGGGAGCAGTCTTTGAAAATGTTTGCTTTTACCAGGAAGTCCAGCGGCATAGTGATGTGATAAGGTGCAAAGCACAGCAGAAAGACTACCGCACAGCACAGAACCATCTTCAAGGCCCTCCGTTTTTCTCCACAGTCTGGAACACATTCTGCTGTCGTCTTCCGGAGGCTCAAGGCTGTCAAAACGGCACAAGCCAAAACCACAATAAGGGGGATGATGAACCCCAGCAGCTCTGCTAATATCAACAGGATGCAGACTAGTTCATAACCAATGGGTCTCATGGGCAACTCTGAGAAACACTTATCATTGGGTTTGTCTGGTTTGTAGTCTCTGAGCACAGGGAAAGCCAGGCAGGCTAAGCAGATGGTTAGCCAACCAACAATACATTTCAACAGGTCTCCTTTTTGCTTTGATGAGTTGTACTTCAGTGGGTCCACGATGAGCTGGCAGCGGCGCACACTGATCCACACTAGGAAGTAGATGGAGGCATACATATTGACATACTTGAGATAGAAGCAGATCATGCAGAGAGGATAGCCAAAGGGCCAGGAGTCATTCAGATAGTAGTAGATCCGCAGAGGCAGGGACAGCACCTGGGAAGAGACACGGATCTTAGAAGCAGCCAGCAGAGGGAGAACGCACTGATTCATTAACTGGCTTTAGGGGCTGTGGGACCTGTCCAGTTTTAGGAAAACTCCCTTTGGCTAATTCTCTTTAAAGAACACAGATCAAGAAAAAAATGTAGAGACTCAACATACAAAGACCTGATAGGGAGGCCTTCCACTTCTCTGCCTCTCTGTGTGAGTCCATGTTTTTATTACCTTTTGAGGACGATTTCCCGGGAAGATGCTATACTTTGGGGATTTATAGGTACTAGTGGGAAACAATGACTGGTTCCCATGAGGAAAGGTTCTCTTCTTGGGGTGGGACTTAGGTACAGAACTAAGGTGTGAATTGAGTTTAGGTTAGGGTTAAGGTTAGGTAGGTGTTGGTAATGGTTAGCGTAGGGGTCTGGGTTAGGCCATGGAGATCAGTGGGAAATAAATGGAAGTCAATGGAACCGCAATAAATGGAAGGTCCCCACAAAGACAGTGACATAAGTGTGTGTGTGGACCTGTCTAGGAGTCAGAGTGAGGACCAGTTGTTATAAATTAGGACAGTAAGCTGGTCCTCACAAGGTGTTTTACTAATGATTAGATTTAGGGCTAGGGTGTGTATTAGTGACGTTAGGGTTAGTTTTAGGGTCAGGTTAAACAAAGGGTTGAAAGTTACTAAAAATGACTGGAATCATTGGAGGTCAACACATGGTCCTCACTACATATAGCGAGATGAGTGTGTCTGTGTTTTTGTCTTTCCTTTTAGACTCACAAACATCAGCTGAGTAACAAAAATATGAACACCACATACAGTAGCATTAGGGTTAGGATACATTTGATCAAACTAGATTAGCTCATTTTGAAGCAAACATATTTAAAAAGATTTTATTACAAAAATCAGAGGGGTGGCATACTTTTGTATTCAGTGCTCAATAAACACAGCATGTTTTCATTAACGGCCAGACAAATGTTCACATTTTCAAATAAGAACGTACCGGGTGACTCTGCCAAAGCATCACAACCAAACCGCTAAAAAGCACAATGGACATGTACAGACATCTCATGAGACATCAGTGGTGGAGCGTCACATTCAGGTTAATGAGGTGGGTGGGGCTACATCATAATTTCAAGAATGATGCCACTCATGTACAAACTAACAGATTTTCCTTTACTCTGGAACCTGGTTTTCAAAATTATTATTTTTTTTTTATTTCCTGGAAAAACAGGCCAAGCTCCAACATCTAGAAACAAAGGTGTTGATGGCAGCAGCACAGCTGAATATTTCTCTCCAGGATGGAGTCACAGCAAAACAGGAACAGACCCGATGA